TCACTGTCACAGAATGCTACACACACACACACACACACACACACACACACACACACACACACGTGTTAGTGTGCCAATGGCCCCTCATAGAAAAAGTTCTGCCCATAGATGAACTGTATTTACCATTCTGTACCTTGACTTGTTGAAGGAGCTGGCAGATTCCTACCAGGGAAACAAAGCACTCGATAATTACATTTTGCATGCTATTACAAGCTAGTTACCTATCCACCAGTAGCAGTGACAGTCATGAAAACTTGAAACATTCTTGCAAATATTGGTTATTTATGATTCTGAATGTCACTATCCTTTTTCTTTGATGCCACTGATAACATCAGAGTTTGGCCCTTGGCTTGTAAACTGTATGAATGACATCTATGTTTGCTGGTTGATCATTTCCTCAACAGGACTTTAGTTTTTTAGGTGTTGTAGCATCTATATCTGTGCTTGTAACTGCATTACAACCTATTAAAAATACATCTCTTTTAATCTGGTCTTTCAATGGCTGCCTGTATGAATTAAATCAATGATATCATGAAATGTTTCAAAACCTGTGCTTGCATTAAAAGGTTTATGACTTCACTGATATGATCTACCTTGTGTGTATGTACTAAACTGAATGACATGACTCTAAGGTATGAAGACCTGCTCTTTGTCGATATCAATCAAAGCCTCGTTAGAACAAATGAATGGTTTCAGAAAGTGAAATGCAGTGGGGGTTTTTAAATACATACATTTGTGACATGGACAGTTAGACATTGTGGTTCACAGCAGAATAAACAGAGAAAATTATCTGCCAATCCAAACCAGACAGTGATGGATGTGCAGAGAACAGACTGGATGATGGCAGTGTAAAACTGGATCAGCAGCCCCTGAGGCAGGTTGAACTTCCTAAACTGGCGCAGAAAGTACATCTTCTGCTGGGCCTTTTTGGTGATGGTGTCAATGTTGGAGGCCTACTTTATGTCCTTGGAGATTGTGGATCCCAGAAATCTGTATAGTGCTGTTGAGTATGGTGAGGGGGGCAGTGTTTGGGGGCTCCTCCTGAAGTCCACTGTCATCTCCACAGTTTTGAGCTTGTTCAGCTCCAGGTTGTTCTGACCACACTAGAGCGCCAGCTGTTCCACCTCCTGTCTGTACGCAGACTCATCACCGTCCCTGATGAGGACGATGACCATTGTGTGTCATCTACAGTTCCAGGAGTTCAACAGACAGGTCTCCTGAGGTGCAGTCATTGGTGTAGAGGGAGAAGAGCAGTGCGGAGAATACGCTGGTGCTGATGGTCTGGGTGCTGGATATGATGTTTCCCAGTGCAGAAGGTTTTAGTTGGCACACACATGTCCTCACAAAAGCTGATGTACAATGTCAGATTGTTAGTGAGCTCATCCATGTAGCAGCAGCCTCAAAAACAATCCAATCAGTGCAGTCAAAGCAGGCCTGCAACTCCAGCTTTGCCTCGTTGGTCCATCTCCTCAGTCTTGACCACAGGCTATGCAGATTTGCGTTTCTGCCTGTAGGTCAGGAGAAGATGAACCAGATAATGATCAGATAGTCCCAAAGCTGCACAGGGGACATAGCAATAGGCGTTTTTTACAGTGTAGCAGTGGTCCAGTGTGTTTTTGTCCCTAGTGGGACACTTAATGTAACAAATGTAATAAAACAGCATATCTGCAGCTTGCAGCTCCCTCTTTTTTCGTCTGTCACTCTGCCATTGACTGTGACTGTCCCTTCATTTCTGTCTGTGAATTGCCACAAAAAATCCAATCGAAAGGCAGTGACGCATCACCAAGTTCAGACCCAGCTACTGCAGGTGTCTGGCAGTGGATTTGTCACTGCCAACAGAACTGCGGTAGCGATGCCAGGCTAGCTGTAGTCGGTGCACTGTTGTCATTACTCACTGTTGTCTTTATTTAGTGAATCCAAATTTTCAGAGGCTTGGGTGTTTCCTTTTTGACATTCTGACTCATCCATAAACCGACCAAAATACTGAATAAAAAGTTACAGTCCATTCAAATATTGTGCAACACCAACAGATGAGTTCAGGTGATAAATAAACCTAGTGATTTGAGTGCTGCGCCACACCGCATGGATGAACACATGGCATGTTGGTTTAAGTGCGATAATGGCATCCAAGTTTCATCATGCTTAATCAGGTTTTTCTTCAGTTTTTATAGCCATGTCAAAATTCCCTTAGGTATTGTCCCACAAGGGCTTGGCTAGTAAATCCACCGCCAAGAGATCTGATGAAAGTCACATCTGTTTTACTGCCCCATGTGACCAAGTTACAGGCTGGGCTCACTAAGTAAATAGTGTCATCTGGACCACAAAATAATTAAATTCTGTTTCACATCTGCAGTTGGAGTGGGCCAGATGCAAAAAGTGGTAGTGCACCAGTATCTGCTTACTGTCTCAGATTCAATGTAGATGTGATAAATTGTTTGTATGTATATACACATGCATACTGTGCATCTATTAGCAGCACTTTTAGTTCTATGAGGGGCAATTCAGGGTTCAGCATCTTGCCCAAGGACACTTAGTCATGCAGATGGGGAAGACTGGAGATTGAACTGCTGACCTTCTGGTTGGAAGATGACCGCTCGATCTCTTAGCCACAGTCGCGTACTAACCTGAAAAAACCACACAGATGAATCATTGCATTAGTTCATGCAGGACATGGAGTCATGTGCTCAGCTGTCAGCTACCAATAGGTTATGGACGCTCGTCAGTCACCCACCAATCACAGCCCATTCTCTCACCAAAATGTACCTTGCCTCCTACGCCCACTGGGGGTTCTGCATATGTTCCCTGTTTCAGCATGCCTCAGCTAATCCAGGGAAAATCCAAAGAATGGAGCCTTTAGCGCCAATCATAACTGTATCCTCATTTGCAACAAATGGGGAAATCATGACAAAGTGTTCCTGACTGAACTATTCCATTAAAACAAAGTCCTCGATAGAAGTGCTATAATTGTCATTATTTGCAAGTTAATAAGTCATCAATGAAGTCTTCTCACATCAGTCCATCAGGTCGACAAATGTCAATTGTAGTATTCCTCTGTGATCTAAAATTGTAGCTAAAAAGAAAGTTGGATTTTGTCACTCGGGAAAAGCATAAATTAAGTGGGCATTAACTAATCTAGAAAAATATATGATTTATCCACTATTAAACCTGTGAGTTTTAAAAATAACTCTTAGTGCCTTATTAAAGTTCATAATCCATGTATCATTTGTTCTTTTCATATTCAATTAGAAAACCAAAATTGGAAAATTTAAAAACAAGTCATTATTTCGTTATTCATTTATGTATCTGTTACCAAAAAACAATGTTGTTTTTCGTAACTTGGATTTTTTGCTCAGATCAGAAATACGAAATGAAAAAATGGGTCACGGGCCGAACATCTGGTGCAGGTGAAGGTGCTCTCCCAGCTACCTCCACAAGCACTATGAGAAAGTTAGATAAGAGATCATGGATTTAGGAAGTCACGAGCTGAACAGAGACTGTGGTAATACTGTGTGTGTGTGTGTGTGTGTGTG